GCTTGCTTGCTTGCTTGCTTGCTTGCTTGCTTGCTTGCTTGCTTGCTTACTTGCTTTGGTTTGCATGGGTTATGGTGATTAAACTCAAGTCCATGTGCTTCCAAAGCAAGAACCTTGCTGACTGACCTGTCCCCTAAAGCCACTTAGTTTAGAAAGTTTTTTTCCATTAATTTATTTATTCCTTCATTTTACATTCCAATAGCAGCCCACCCCTTCCAGTCCCCACCTCACAGAGTCTCTCCTCCCATCTCCCTTCCACTTCTCCTCTCAGAGGGTGGAGGACCCATGGGTACAAGTTTAGACAGTTTTATACTTAGGTCTCTTTAAAGCAATACATATAACTCTAAAACTGAAATACTTAAACTCTCCAATAGATGTTGCAAAAAAAATCCTTAAATCAAAATGCTTTTCTGCAAATCAATACCCCGATTTAAAAAGCAAAATTCCCATAAAAACATAACTTACTGAAAATTCACACTGACCTGAGTTTCCTTACAAGGTTGGAAGGAGAAGTTCTGCAGGACTCTGACAAGAGCAACTTTCATGCTCATGAGGGCAAACCTCATACCAATGCAGTTCCTGGGTCCATTCCCAAAGGGCAGGTACACATAAGGATTGATGCTGTCCTGATTCTTCTTGCTGAACCTGGTCTCACGTGAGTAGATGAAAGCACGTTAATGAAGTGTTAATGAAGTATAAAACCACAAGAGCCACTTGTATGGTATCTCTTAGATACCCACAAGTAGACAGGACGTTTGCATGGACTGGTTGTGAAAATTCTGGTATGACTTTTAGAGTTTCTCGATTGCAAGGTGGTCATTTTTCCACTCTCATATTAACTTCTTATATGCATGCTCTCACCAACATCTCTTCTTTCCAACTTGCCCCACACTCATTTTCATGTCTATTTTGTATGAGTCTTTCACAGGCGGTCACAGATTCTGTGTTTTCATGATGGTGATGGCCACATTCTAGCTAGGAGACACTATTAGCACACCTCCCCGATTCTTTAGCTCCCCCAGTTTTTCCATCCTTTCATCCATGATGTTCCCTGGGCCTCAGAGTGGGTGATATGCCACAGGAATTATGCATTACAAGTCTTCCTCTTGTTTTACCATGGAGGGGCTTTTCGGTCATGTTGAGGTGATATCAGTACTGTTCAAAAGAACACTTACCTTAAAACCTGATCATTGCATGTAGAGTGATATAACTATTCTATGAGACATAAGAAATGAGGCCAACTGAGGAAA